GCTGCTGCTGCTACTGTTGTCGCTGCTGCTGTGGCGGTTGCCGACAGGTTCGCAAGGAGTTTTTCGAGTCGTGGGAGCGCTGCACGTATTTTGCTTATGCTCAGCACGTAGCTCCGCGATTTTCTGTACTGAAATATCTCTTTTTTCCTCCATTTGGCGATTTTACAGGAAGATGCGAGACGAAAATAATCGAATTCTAGGTGCTGGTCGACTTACTGCGAGTCAAATTGACTGTAGAATCGGACGAGCGCAAATTTTGTAGGTTGCGTAAATCTCCCTTAGGCGAAATTCGCGTCCGATCTTGGCCGTTCAGGGGAAAATCGATCTCGACGCTCCAAATTCCCAACTTTTTGGGGCGAAATTCTCTGGGCCGTTGAGATGAAACTCGATCGAACGGTCGAAAACTCCAACCTTTCCACCAGTAAATCTGAGGGGTGTTCGAAAACCGAATCGAGGGGGACTTCGAAAATTGCGCGCAACTGGTTTTACATACCCGTATCTGAGCCTGGGGGTGATGCGTCTGGAGCTACTAAGCCTGGTGGTGCGGAGCCAGCGGCCGCTGGACCTGCTCGTGTGCCGTCTGGCGGTGCTGGGCCTGGAGGTTCTCCGGGTGCTTCGTCTCGGCGGGAGGCCACTCTCCCCACACGACCTGCGCGAGTGGTTTGCCCGGCGCTGGAGGCGTACTACTGGAGCTAGAGCTTCTTCGGCCGCTGAGGGTACTGGTGTCGCCGGTCCCGGAGGTACTCGCCTTGGGAGTGCTGGAGCTGCTGGGCCTGCGGGTACGACTGGAGCTGGAGCAGCTGAGGGTGTTGGCTGATGAGGCTACTGCTGTCAGTCCTGGCGGTGGTCCTGCTGCAGGGTGCTGCTGGTACTGCTGGAGGTCCTGCAGCTGGAGGTGCTGTTGACACTGGTGCTGCCGCTGAGGGTGCTGGTGCTGTCCCTGCTGTGTCTGGAGTCGCCGCGCGACCTCGGCCGTACTTCGTTCCGCTCCTGCAGCAGGTTCTTGGTCCTTCTCCTCCTGTACAGTGTCCACCGCCTGTCCAGTCACAGTCACAGTTACCGCCCCGCCTCCACACTGCCTGCTCCCTCTCCATACACTGGTCCTACTGGAGGTCTTGCTGAGCGTCATGAGCCCGCGTCTCGTCCCGCGTCGCCTGTTTCGTGCTGCTCGTGCTAGTGGTAGCGGTTCGCATCAGCGTCCTCCTCCTGTCCCTGGCACGCACCAGATGTCTCTGCGTCCGTGCACTGCTCCTCTGCGTGTCCCTTTGCCTTCTCCTCCTGAGTCCTCTCTTCCTGCGCTTGCCGACCCGGAGTCGGACTCTCTTCGTGCTGCCAGTCCTACCGTCACGCGTCTCCTTGCTACTGTCGTGACTGACCCCTCTTTTGAGTCCACTGCTGCGTCTGCTCTTGTTGCTGAGCTCGTTGACTTTGCTGCTCGCTGTCCCGTCTAGACTACGCTGCTAGTCTTGTTGCTGAGTCTGCGTCTGTCTGTCCTCCGTCCGTCGGGGGGTGAGTGTGCTCTTGGCACGGACGTCCTTGAGGACAGGCAGGAGGAGTTCCAGTGTCTGGCTGCTGCTTCACCTCATCTCGCGTCCGTACTGCTTACCCCTGAGGGAGACCCGGATGCACTAGACATCCCGACTCCGCGCTCTTACGCGGAGGCCGTTAGAGGGTCCCTACTCCTCTTAGTGGCAGGCAGCTATGGATGCAGAGATGGCTTCCTGGAAGTCCACAGGCACCTACGTTGACGCGGTTCCTCCTCCTGGGGCGAACATCGTCAGTGGCATGTGGATCTTCAGGGTGAAGCGGCCGCCGGGCTCTCCACCTGTCTTCAAGGCGCGGTACGTGGCTCGTCGCTTCAGTCAGCGGCAGGGAGTTGACTACTTTCAGACCTTCTCTCCCACCCCGAAGATGACCACTCTTCGGGTGCTGCTACACATAGCCGCTCAGCGTGACTACGAGCTTCACTCCCTTGACTCAGCACTGCTTTCCTGCAGGGTAGCTTGCACGAGGAGATCTGGCTGTGCCGTCCACCTGGCTTCACTGGGACTTTCCCACCTGGCACCCAGTGGAGCCTCCGACGGCTAGTCTACGGTCTCCACCAGGCACCGCGCGAGTGGCACGACACACTGAGGACTACGCTTGCGGCTCTTGGGTTTGCTCCCTCTACTACTGACCCGTCGTTGTTTTCTGCGCACCGACACCTCTCTGCCGCCGTTCTACATCCTCGTGTACGTCGACGACTTGGTCTTTGCCACAGCTGACACTGCTGGACTCGCCCACGTGAAGTCCGAGCTGCAGAAGAGACACACGTGCACAGACCTCGGTGAACTGCCGCAGCTACCTTGGCTTGCAGATCACACGGGACAGAGCACACCGCACCATTACCTTGACTCAGTCACACATGGTGCAGCAGGTCCTTCAGCGCTTCGGCTTCACGTACTCCTCGCCTCAGGCCACTCCTCTGTTACTCGCCACTCGCTCTCAGCTCTGCCTTCGGATGAGTCCGTAGAGTCGAGTGGCCCGTACCCAGAGCTTGTTGGCTGCCTCATGTACCTGATGACCTGCACACGACCTGACCTTGCATACCCTCTTAGCATTCTCGCACGCTATGTTGCTCCTGGGAGACACGACCAGAGCACATGGCTGCAGCGAAGAGGGTGTTGCGCTACCTGTGCAGTACGTCGGGCATGGGGCTAGTGCTTGGAGGGCGGAGGTCCAGTGGTCCTCACTGGGCACGCGGACGCTTCTTGGGCTGACGACCAGGCTACGCAGCGGTCGTCACAGGGTTACACCTTCAGTCTTGGTTCCGGCTCTGTTTCGTTGCGGGCTACTCGCTCGTCTTCTGTTCTCGGCTCCAGTTGTGAGGCTGAGATCTACGCCGGGGCCATGGCTGCACAGGAGCTTCGCTGGCTCACCTACCTGCTGACTGACCTCGGAGAGCCGCCTCGTTCTCCTTCAGTGCTGTACGTAGACAACAAGGCCATGCAAGCCTTGTGTCGGGAAGCAACGCCTGGAGCACAGAACGAAGCACATTGCTCTCCGCTACTTTCTTGCTCGTGAGTTGCAGCAGCGTGGTCAGTTGCGACTTGCGTACGTGGCCTCTGAGGCCAACACTGCTGATGTTTTCACCAAGGCACTTCCGCCTTGTGATCATCAGCGCTTCTCCACTCAGCTGGGTCTTGTGCCTGTCTTGCCTCACTTGCTCACCCCTTGACCTTGCTTGTACTCTTACATATATATATACCTGCTCTTGCTTGTTTAGCCTTATATATATATATATGTGTGTACTCCTGCATGTGAACTGGCCTTGTGGCCTTGACCTTGTGCTCGGACTGTGTGGTGACGTTGTGATCCCCCCTGAGCTTTGTCTGCTTTGCTTGACTGGTCTTGTGACCCCTTGTTCTCCCCACTTTGCCTATGGGGGTGTGTCAAATTATAATATTCTGTAGGCTATAGTGGGGTAGCCCATATGGGGTACACATTTCTAGGGTTTCCTAATTTGTATCACTTCCATTCCTTAGTCAATCATTCTCGTTCTACTTTCCTCATATGGTCCTTCCATGTTTTGAGAGCTTTTTTTAGATAGCATAATAAGGTTACCAGAAAGAATGGAATGACAATGCTGGTTGCATGAGGGGTAAAAGCGAATAGTTTGTACAAATGTGGGCGACCTACCGTAATCAGCAACCAGGGCTCTAGATATCAGCCTTTTTATGCTGAGTCAGAGTTAGATCAAGCTTTTTTTTAGGGGCTTGGCTGAATCCATTTTTTTTGTTATCTACCTTGGCTGGATTATCACAATTTTTTTTTCACTATGGTAGCTTTTTCAGCCTTTTTGTATGAGTGTAGGCTGTGCACTCAGCCTTGTATAGGGGTTGCACGCACACTGAAACCGGCATTACAGGAATTTCTGTCAGCTTGGCTAAGTTTAGGACTGATGCCGTCAATCGTGGGCGGGAATTGAATTTCCCCCGCGCGGCATCGCACAGTCTCGTGAGATCAGCTGCAAGTCCGACAAATCGGGGTTGCGCAGCAGGGAGCGTTGGCGAGATTTGTTGCCAACATATGGCTCGCAGCGCGCTGCGCCTCGCACGACGCCATAAACATCCACCCCACCCCACCTTTCCTCAAACACAACCACGTGAGGTGCATGCAGGGACCACCAGGGAGATGGGAGGTTCAATTACGAGGGCCTCTTCCACGCTGCCTCATCCTCACCGTCACGCCTATTCCCTCTATCGCCTGCCAACTCTCGCTTCACTTCAGTGCTGACTTGAACCCTTGTTTAGGGTTTAGGGAGTGAGACTGCTTATGCCAGAACTGTGGCCACCAAACTGAGAGCGGCACGCACTGCAGGCACAGCGTCAGAAATGGTTGATGTCTCTGTGCACTCTGTTTCATGCAAATGAGCCCGCCGAGATCCTACGAGGTTAGCTATATTAAATATGCTGGACCAAGCATTGAAATCCGGGCCATAACTAATCCCCTCCAATGTTCTGTTATTCGCAGGCATTGACAAGAAAAGGGCATTGAAGGAGCTGAGGTCTCTGTGCCCGGTCCTGGGCAGGTGAGGAGGAGGAGAGACTGTGGAGGAGAGAAGATGGGAGGCGACTGCTGACGCTGCAAACACACAGACGAGCTGTTGGCTCAGTGGCTACCGGAACAGTGCTCCGGACTACTGGAGTAACTGGCCCCGCGGCTAAAAGTAGCGGCAGACGAGCAACGGACCCACGGCGCGACTGGCGACTACCGGAGATTGTAGCCTCCGGACAGCTGCTGACGACAAGGACTGCTGCCTCCACTCAACCTCCCCAGCTGCCCAACGCCCCTCTCACACACCCCCTGCTCAAACCCTAGCCCTACACCCACAGCACCCCCTTAAACCCTAAACCCCAGACTCCCACACATCCACCCCCCTCAGCGATAGCTGCAGCAGTGGGAGACGAAGGAGGAGGAGGAGGAGGGGACGGGACGCACAACCGACACCCCCACAACCATCACCCCCACACCCACCCCCCCACGGCTGCACCGGGTCCAGGAGCGGCTGCTGCAGGGGCCAGGGCGGCTGCTGCTGGGGCGGTTGCTCCAGGGGCTGCTGCTGCTGGGGCGGCTGCTCCAGGGGCTGCTGCTCCTAGGGCGGCTGCTCCAGGGGCTGCTGCTGCTGGGGCTGCTCCTGCTGGGGCGGCTGTTGCTGGGGCGGCTGCTCTAGGGGCTGCTGCTGCAGGGGCGGCTGCTCCAGGGGCTGCTGCTGCTGGGGCGGCTGCTCCAGGGGCTGCTGCTGCTGGGGCGGCTGCTCCAGGGGCTGCTGCTGCTGGGGGCTGCTGCTCCAGGGGCTGCTGCTGCTGGGGCGGCTGCTCCAGGGGCTGCTGCTGCTGGGGCGGCTGCTCCAATGGCTGCTGCTGCTGGGGCGGCTGCTCCAGGGGCTGCTGCTGCTGGGGCGGCTGCTCCAGGTGCTGCTGCTGCTGGAGCGGCTGCTCCGGGGGCTGCTGCTGCTGGTGTTGCTCCTGCTGGGGCGGCTGCTGCTGGGGCGGCTGCTGCTGGGGCGGCTGCTCCAGGGGCTGCTGCAGCTGGGGCGGCTTGCTGCTGAGGCGGCTGCTCCAGGTGCTGCTGCTGCTGGGGCGGCTGCTCCAGGGGCTGCTGCTGCTGGGGCTGCTGCTGCTGGGGCGGCTGCTCCAGGGGCTGCTGCTGCTGGGGCGGCTGTTCGAGGGGCTGCTGCTGCTGGGGCGGCTGCTCCAGAGGCTGCTGCTGCTGGGGCGGCTGCTCCAGGGGCTGCTGCTGCAGCGGAAATTAGGAGGGAGGGGAGGGGAAGGGCGCGGCCCCCAGGGTGCCCTGACGGGCGACGTGCTAGGGAGCTGCGCAGGCCCCCGAAAGTTCCCCGACGGGCGACGGGAGGGGACCGCGCGCAGGCCCCTCAGGCGCCGTGACGAGGCGACGATCGGGGCCAGTGCGCGGGCCCCCAAGACGCCGCGACGAAGTAGGAGCCCGCCGCGTGCCTCGGGGCGCACGGCGGGCAGAAAAACCGCCACGCATTCCGAGCGCGTGGCGGGAAGAAAATTAGAATGTCGCGCGCCACAGGGCGCGCGACACACAGTAGGGCAGCCGAAGCAAGTGGGCCCACAGGCCAGGAGCTTTAAGCTCAGATAGCATATTAAAGTTCTAGAGTGTAGTAGGCTTAGAAGCCATAGTTTAGGTGCCTTAGTAGCTTAGGTTTTAGGGTGTAAGGAAAATGTCAAGAAAGTTGAAAGGAGAGAATGTGATTCACTAGCAAGAGTTGGGATACAAGTACAACACCCTAAATTGGGTTTGTACTCATTATAGAGTACCCCACTGCAGGCTAGACAGCAAATACATTCTGACACATTGGTCCCCTTCGTTTCCCATATCTGCACCCCCACTTTCATTTTTTCATTCAATTACTTGCTCTAGCCTGCCTAGCTGGCGAAGCCATGGTGGAATTCATAGGGACCCACTTCCATTTTAAGAAGAAAATGAAGCGCACGTGGCGATTAACCAACGACGGGTGGTATACCGTGAGCCTCCAGACCCTCCTGAACCACCAGCGCCTCCAGCGCCGCCTGCACCGCCTTCTCCTCCTGCTCCTTCTGCTCCTCCCGCTCCTCCTGCTCCTCCTGCACCGCTTGTTAAATGTTCTGCGTACACGGGCAATCGGCCCATGCTCCAGCTCCTGCTGCCAGCTACTTTCAACGAATGAATGTCTAAGCTGGAGTCCAACAAGCCCACTGATGTGTACGTCCCACCTTCACCGCCGGCACCACGATGGGGACAGCCCAGAGACTGTACGTGGGACGAGTCGGCTGTGGGCGCCGATGACGTTGTTGCTCCCGATGACGAGCCCTACGGCAATAGTGGAGAGCGTGTGGCAAAGGTGAAACGGGCGCCGAGGCTAGCACAGAGTCGGACTTGTTCCTAGAGGGCGGCGCAAGTGCTGCGGACAACGACGGCGTGGAGTCTTACATATCCCCCGGTTAACAAATAAAGTCCCCACCTCTCTGTTAAGAACCGGGATGCCCGCCCCCCCTCTTGTAGGCATAAGCTGACACAACGTAAGCGGCACTCGTACACCGCCCAGGAGAAGCTTAAGTGGCTCGTGCGCTTGGAAGTTGCAGCATCAATAAGCGAGGTGGCGCGGGAGTCCGACATCCACCGCAAGTACCTGAATGAGTGGAAGCAGCACGCAGACCAGCTTAAGGACGCCCACAGCGCATGGAAACGTTTACACGGCCGCTGGAGAGCTTCGTGGTACTGTTTGATGGAGATGAAGGTCTACGTGCAACTCCTCGACTGGCGGCGCCGGGGTGTTGCACTTTCGGTCGGCAAACTGCAATGGTCTGGCGAGGTGATGAAAGTGCTGTTTCCAGACGTGAAATGGAAAGGGAGTCAGCGATGGTCGCAGCGGTTTCGTAAGCAGTGGAACCTTAGCGTCCGCATGAAAACCAAGGTGGCGCAGAAGACTCTACAATGTACATGCCTTGTGTTGTTTGAAGCACGCTCAAATTTGCTTGGTGTTTTTATTGATTTGAGTGCGCCCATATGTGTGTATCATGTTACTAACTTGCCTTCCCCCTTTGACATTTCATCCCCATGCGGAGATGAGAAACTGAACGAGAATGAATCGACTAAGGGAAACTTGGGTACAAGTGCAAACCCTAGAAAACTGTACCCCATATGTGCTACCTCACTATAGCCTACAGTAACTATGTCATATAAATCTGACACACCCCTATAGGCGAAGTGGGGGAGAACAAGGGGTCACAAGACCAGTCAAGCAAAGTAAAGCAAGCTCAGGGTGGATCACAAAGTCACCACACATTCCAAGCACAAGTTCAAGGCCACAAGGCCAGTTCACATGCAGGATTACATATATATATAAGGCTAGACGAGCAAGAGCAGGTGTATATATATATGCAACAGTACAAACAAGGTCAAGGGGTGAGCAAGTGAGGAAAGGTAGGCACAAGACCCAGCTGAGTACAGAAGCGCTGATGATCACAAGGCGCAAGTGCCTTGGTGAAGATATCAGCAGTGTTGGCCTCAGAGGCCACGTACGCAAGCCGCAGCTGACCACGCTGCTGTAGCTCACGAGCAAGGAAGTAGCGGAGAGCAATGTGCTTCGTTCTGTGCTCCAGTCTCTGCTCTCGACACAAGGCCAGCATGGCCTTGTTGTCTACGTACAGCACTGCAGAACGAGGCGGCTCTCCGAGGACAGTCAGCAGGTAGGTGAGCCAGCGAAGCTCCTGTGCAGCCATGGCCCCGGCGTAGATCTCAGCCTCACAACTGGAGCCGAGAACAGAAGACGAGCGGGTAGCCCGCCACGAAACATAGCCGGAACCAAGGCTGAAGGTGTAACCCTGTGACGACCGCCTGCGTAGCCTGGTCGTCAGCCCAAGAAGCGTCTGCGTGCCCAGTGAGGACCACTGGACTCTGCCCTCCAAGCACAAGCCCCATGCCCGACGTACTGCACAAGTAGCGCAACACCCTCTTCGCTGCAGCCATGTGCTCCGGTCTGTGTCTCCCAGGAGAAACATAGCGTGCGAGAATGCTAAGAGGGTATGCAAAGTCAGGTCGTGTGCAAGTCATTAGGTACATGAGGCAACCAACAACTCTGGGTACGGGCCACTCGACTCTACGGACTCATCCGAAGGCAGAGCTGAGAGTGAGTGGCGAGTAGGCACAGGAGTGGCCTAAGCGATGAGTACGTGAAGCCGAAGCGCTGAAGGACCTGCTACACCATGTGTGACTGAGTCAGGGTAATGGTGCGGCGTGCTCTGTCCCGAGTGATCTGCAAGCCAAGGTAGCTGCGCAGTTCACCCACGTCGGTGCACGTGTGTCTCTTCTACAGCTCGGACATCACGTGGGCGAGTCTAGCAGTGTCAGCTGTGGCAAAGACCAAGTCGTCAACGTACACGAGGATGTAGAGCGGCGGCAAAGAAGTGTCGGTGCGCGAAAACAGCGACGGGTCGGCAGTAGAGGGAGCAAACCCAAGAGCCGCAAGTGTAGTCCTCAGTGTGTCGTGCCACTCACGCGGTGCCTGGCGGAGACCGTAGACTAGCCGCCGGAGGCTCCACTGGGTGCCAGGAGGAAAAGACCCAGTGACGCTAGGTGGGCGACGCAGCCAGATCTCCTCGTGCAGGCTGCCATGCAAGAAAGCAGTGCAGAAGTCAAGAGAGTGTAGCTCGTAGTCACGGTGAGCAGCTATGTGCAGCAGTACCCGAAGAGTGGTCATCTTCGGGGTGGGAGAGAAGGTCTGAAAGTAGTCAACTCCCTGCCGCTGACTGAAGCCACGAGCCACGTAATGCGCCTTGAAGACAGGCGGAGAACCCGGCGGTCGCTTCACCCTGAAAATCCACATGCCACTGACGATGTTCGCCCCAGGCGGGGGAACCTCGTCAACGTAGGTGCCTGTGGACTTCCAGGAAGCCATCTCTGTGTCCATAGCTGCCTGCCACTAAGAGGAGAAGGGACCCTCTATCGCCTTCGCGTAAGAGCGCGGAGTCGGAATGTCAAGTGCATCCGGGTCTCCCTCAGGGGTAAGCAATACGGACACGAGATGAGGTGAAGCAGTAGCCAAACACTGGAACTCCTCCTGCGTGTCCTCAAGGACGTCCGTGCCAAGGGCACACTCACCCCGACGGACGGAGGACATACAGACTCAAACTCAGCGACAAGACTAGCAGCGTAGTCTAGACGACAGCGAGCAGCAAAGTCGACGAGCTCAGCAACTAGGGCAGACGCAGCAGTGGACTCAAAGGAAGGGTCAGTGATGACAGTAGCAAGGAGACGCGTGACAGTAGGATTGGCAGCACGAAGAGAGTCCGACTCCGGGTCAGGAAGAGCAGGAAGAGAGGACTCAGGAGGAGAAGGCAAAGGGGCACGCAGAGGAGCAGTGGACGGACGCAGAGACATCTGGTGCGTGCTAGGGACAGGAGGAGGACGCTGACGCGAACCACGACCACTAGTGCGAGCAGGACGGACAGGCGACGTAGAGCGAAACGCAGGCTCACGACGCTCAGCAAGACCTCTAGTAGGACCAGTGTAGGGAGAAGGAGTAGGCAGAGGGGAGGCCGCCTGTAACTGTAACTCTGACGGGACAGGCTGTGGACACTCTAAGGGAGAAGGAGGACCAGTAGAAGGCGGAAGACCAAGAACCTGCTGAAGGAGCGGAACGAAGTACGGCCGAGGCCGCGCGGCCACTCCAGACACAGCACGGACAGCACCAGTACTACCAGCGGCAGCACCAGCGCCAAGAGCACCTCCAGCTCCAGTACCTTCAGCAGCACCAGTAGCACCCCCAGCAGGACCGCCTCCAGGACCGACAGCAGTAGCCTCAGCGCCAACACCCTCAGCAGCTCCAGCTTTAGTCGTACCCGCAGGCTCAGCAGCTCCGTTACTCCCAGTACGAGCACCTCCGGGCTCAGCACCCCCAGGCTTAGCACCCCCAGTAGTAGCACCCTCAGGCTCAGCACCCCCATGCGTAGCACCCACACGCTCAGCACCCCCAGAGTCAGCACCCTCAGGCTCAGCACCCTCAGGCTCAGCACCCTCAGCAGCACTAGAGTCACCAGTAACCTCGACAGGCTCGACTGCGTCTACGTGGGACACACATGAAGGGGCAGGACCCTGAGGGGGGTGGGGGTCTACCGGGGGGGGACCTGGCACAAGGAAGAGCGGTGGCGGGGGGAGGGACGGAGTGCGGTAGGGGAAGAGGCGGTAGTAGGAGACCAACTCGTCAAACGTGACGTCCTGGGGAGGACAGAACACGACGAGAGGTGGGGTGGTAGAACTGCCACCCTGGCGCGTCAGGGGGGAAGCCAAGGAAGACGCAAGGAGCAGCACGAGGGGACAGCTTGTGCGCAGACAAGTCGCGGACAAACGCCCGAGATCCCCAGACACGGAACGCAGACGCATCGCCAACCTTCTCCGTCCCCAGCAAAGCTGGGGAGGTCTCTGGAATGAAGACCCTGGGGTGAAGGTTGATCTGATGCGCCGCGTACCGAACCGCAAACGGCCACAGAAAATGGGGGGTAGCCGCATGCATCATGGACGTACGGGCGACGTCCATGACCATGCCAATGTGGCGCTCAGCAATCCTATTTTGTTGTGGAGAGTCTGAAAGCGTGAAGGTCTGGCGGATGCCTCGTGCACGACAGTAGGCTCGCAGAAGGCCAGAGGAGAACTCTCCGCCTCTGTCAGAGTGCAGACGCAGAACAGGAAAGTCCCGAGCCGAAACTCTTCCTCAGCTGGAGACGAGCTGCGCGGATCCAGTCGATCAACACCTCAGTGACATCACCCTTGCTGCGCAAGGGGAAGACTGTGGTGTAACGCGAGTAGTCGTCAACCACCAGCAGGAATTAGCGCTCGTGACCCTGTCCACGGACGCGGGCGGGGCCCCACACGTCCATGTGAAGCGTCTGCAGCGGGGCCTCTGTCGGAAGAAACTGGGAGGAGTGAGGGGCAGCCCGCTGCCGTCCCTCGACACAGGGGACGCAGGTAGGGCCAGGCCCCGGAGGTAGGGGAGGGAGGGACCGGGGAAGACCAGAGACAAGGACACGGGAGGCCATGCCTCGGAGACGAAGTAGGGAGGGGTGACCAAGGCGGTGGTGCCAGAGGAGAGTCTCGTGAGACAGGAGGCGACACGAGCAGGGGGCAGACTCAGGACCAGACCTGGACGCTGCAGCAAACACCTGACCCGACGCAGCTACCTAACCAGACGCAGGGACAGGAGGAGACGCAGTGGTCAGTGTGTACAGGCTCGACCCCCGGCCGACGAGTAAACGTGGCCAAGTGTCGGCCCGTCTGAGCGTCCGTGCAGTGGGTCACCCGCTGGCTCGCAGGAGTGAACCGGTGAACTCCCCCATCCTGTAGGTCAGCACCACTCACCAAGTTCGTAGAGAACGAGGGGAGGTAAAGACCCGACAGGGTGCCAGTGGAAGCCGCTGGACACGGGAGGACAGTGGAGAAGTGAGCAAGGACAGGACCTTGAGAGGGGTCTGCCAGAGAGACTGCAACTGGACGACCAAGCAGCGTGAGTGTGGTGCGGTCTCGAAAGAAGGAGCGAGAAGCCCCCGAGTCAAGGGTGAAGGTGAGGGAGGCCGAAGCCGACTCGGTACCTGAGAGCGCGGACTCACCAGCACCTGAGGAAGCAGACGCACTAGCACTTAGAGCAGCAGCCTCGCTAGCACCTAGAGCAGCAGCCTCACCAGTACCTAGAGCAGCAGTCTCAATGCCCGGGTCGGGCGGGAAACACCGGTAAGAGTCACCCTCATCACTAATAGTCACAGCATACATGGCAGCAAGAATAGCATCAAAGTCAAGGTCAAAGATAGCTACTCCCGCCCTAGGCTCACCCTAGCGGGGGATCTCCTTGGCCTCCGGGAACTGGTGATGCCAAGCGTCCGTCAGGCGACCAAAGCAGCGCTGGGTGGAGTGCGCACCCCCGCACTGCTCACCCGCACGGTCGCCGGTGCGTACGACGTAGGTGCACGGACCAGTACCCCCACCCCGCTGGCGTGCAGCGTACCACTCACGGAGCTGCTGAGGGGGGGGGATGTCACGAGGTGCGCTGCTGCTGCTGCTGCTGCTGGTGCTGACCCCCACCAGAGGCGACCCTCTGCGCAGCGCCACCCCGACCAGCTCCACCTCCTCCGTCGCCGCCTCCTCCACCGCCGCCACCTCCGCCACCTCCGCTCCCAACGCCACCGCCGCCGCCGCCTCCGCCTCCACTGCCGCCACCGACACCTCCACCCCCGCCACCACTCCCACCACCACCCCCACCCCCTCCACTTCCTCCACCGCCACCTCCGCCACCCCCGCCCGCCCCTCCAGCACCCTTGCACCCCTTGCCTTTGCCGGTGCGGCGTCTCCCGCTCGGGGCAGACGCAGCGCCAACCGACTCGAAACCAACGAGGTCGGCTGCAGCAGCAGAGGCAACAGAGGGCAAAAGGGGGGAGGGGGAACACCCCTCAAAGACGGGGATGCGAGGGTCACCACGAGAGGCTCCTACAACGTCTATGCTCTTCTCAGCTGCTAGGAGGGCCTTCTCGAGGAGGTCAACGGTGAGAGTGGTGGGGCAAACTGAGAGGAAGTGGTCCCTGACTACGCGAAGGGAGTCAGGGAGTCGGGTGACTATGTAGTAGAGGGTGATGTACATGGGGGGGGGTTCTTGGCGCAGAACTCAGCAAGAAGCGCAGCGCGGTAGCGAGTGTCACTAGTGCGGAGGTGCGTAATGAGGTCAGCGACTGTGGAAAAGGCAGCAAGGTCAGGGAAGAGGTACGGTAGCATGAGGCGGCTCAGTGCAGCAGTTGCAGGGGAGGAGTAGCGCGCAACTACAGCGTCGTACAGGGTCTGAGCACTCTTGTACTGGCTAAAGTGCGCACGCTCAGAGGTAGGCAGGTGGCGACGCATAGCAAGACGTGCAGCAGCATCGCGTGTGGCCCACTGTGAGCGAACAGAGGCGTCAGCATCAGCAGCAGGGGCAGGAGAGGCACCAGAGGTGAGGTCAAAGAGGGAGAGACCGTCTGCCCTATCGCACTGTAGGAAAAGCTGCATGTCATCTACCCAGACGTCAAAGTCAATGGCCCGACCCTCAGCTTCAAAAGCGAGGATACTAGGGGTAGCCATGACAGCAGTAGACTAGCAGCGCGAACAGTAGGGTAAGGGCAGTGCAGTGACAGAGGCGCTGCTCTTACCGGACAGGGCGGCTCGGGCGGCTTGGCGGCTCGGCAACTCGGGCGGCTCGGCGGTACGGCGGCTCGGCAGCAACTGCGGCTCGGCGACTCGGCGGCTCGGGCGGCTCGGCGGTACGGCGGCTCGGCAGCAACTGCAGCTCGGCGGCTTGGCAACCCGGCGGCTCGGGCGGCTCAGGTGGCGCGGCGGCTCGGGCGGCTCGGGTGGATCGGGCGGCTCAGCAGCAGCTCGGCGGCGCCGGCGGCTCGGTGGTGACGGCGGGGCCGCGTGGGGACGGCGGCGGGGCCGGGTGGAGCGGCGGCGGGGCCGGGTGGAGCAGCGTCGGGGCCGGGTAGAGGCGGCGCCGGGGCCGGGAAGGGCAGCGCTGGGGCCGCAGGGGTAGGCGACGGGGCCAGCAGAGGCGGCGCCGAGGCAGGGAAGGGCAGCGCCGAGGCCGCAGGGGTAGGCGACGGGGCCGCTAGGGCGGCTAGGAGGGGGGGGGTCGCGAGGGCGGCTTGAAGAGGCCGCGAGGGCGGTTAGAAAGGGCCGCGAGGGCGGCGTGAAAGGGCCGCGAAGGCGGCGCAACGCGACGGAGCCGCGAGGGCGGCGGATCGGGGCCGCGAGGGCGGCGCGACGCGGCCGCTAGGGCGGCGCGACGTGAAGGGGCCGCGAGGGCGACGCGACGGGGCCGCAAGCGCGACGTGACGTGGCCGCTAAGGCGGCGCGACAGGGTCGAAAGAGGGGAGCGCGACTCGGGCAGTGTAGAGCGCACTCCGGGCAAGGAAAAAAAGGTGGTGGGCCCTAGGAACAGTTCCCACAGGGGAACCTGCTCGATACCATGAGAAACTGAACGAGAATGAATTGACTAAGGGAAAGTTGGGTACAAGTGCAAACCCTAGAAAACTGTACCCCATATGTGCTACCCCACTATAGCCTACAGTAACTATGTCATATAAATCTGACACAGACGTGGATGGCAAGGAATTTTGGACGTTCGTACGTAAAGCTCGGCGTGATTACGACATCGACGTGTGCTACATAATGAACGCCGCCTAGACTCCTCTGTGGCTGGAGATATCGGAGACAACCACCATAGAGCAGACGAGCGTGAAGTCAGTGCCCATCCGAAATGGTGGGTACCAGAAAGAATGAGTCACTGTGATGTTGGCGTGCATAGCAACGGGGGAGAAGCTAAAAACGTGGGTGTTCTTCAAACGCAAGAAAGTGCTAAAGGGTGATTTCCCGAATAGTAAGCTCTGAGGTTGTGACTTTTTGTGGCTGTTTCATATAAGAAATAAACTAATGACTGTATCATTTTGCTTAAGCGCGGATGTGGTCGTCGGCTGCCAAGAGAATGGCTGGATGGAAGCCAAGAATATCATCTAGTGGCTCGACGAGGCAATGGTGCCTTTTATCAAGCCCAAGTTTGGCGTCCTTCGAAAGTTGCCGTTGAGCCCTGATACACCGAAATGCACTCATTCCTCGTTCTGAGGAGTACAAGTTGGAAACTCTAAAGTGTTGTACCCCATATCAGCTACCCCACTACAGCCTACACAGACTAAAGCATATAAGATTTACACACCCCCATAGGCAAAGTGGGGGAGAACAAGAAGTCACAAGACCAGTCAAGGGTAGCAAAGCAAGCTGAGGGTGGATCACAAAGTCACCACGCATTCTGAGCACAAGCAAATGGCCACAAGGCCAGTTCACATGGAGAGTTATCTAAAGGCGAACAAACAATACAGTGATGACAACATAGCAAGAATAAGCATCTATGTATATGTATAAAGATCACAGCACAACAAAGTCAAGAAGTAAGCAAGTGAGGCCCAGTAGGCACAAGGCCAAGAGCAGTGCAGAAACGCTGATGATCACAAGGCTGAAGTGCCTTGGTGAAAATATCAGCAGTGTTGGCCCGAGTGGCCACGTAAGCAAGACGAAGCTGGCCATGCTGCTGCAACTCTCGAGCAAGGAAGTAGCGCAGAGCGATGTGCTTCGTCCTGTGCTCCAGTATTTGCTCCTGACACAAGGCAATCATGGCCTTGTTGTCGACGTACAGCACTGGAGGAGAACGAGGCGGCTCTCCCAGGTCGATGAGCAGGTAGGTGAGCCAGCGTAACTCTTGTGCAGCCATGGCCCCTACGTATATCCCGAGCCACTTGAGCCGCCCGAGCCACCGAGCCGCCGCTGCTGCGGAGCCACTCGAGCCGCCCGAGCCGCCGAGTCCCCGAGCTGCAGTTGCTGCCGAGCCGCCGAACCGCCGAGCCGCCCGAGCCGCCCTGTCCGGTAAGAGCGGCACCTCTACTAGTGCGCTGCCCTTAGCCTACTGCTCGCGCTGCTAGTCCACTGCTGTCATGGCTACCCCCAGCGTCCTCGCTTTTGACGCTGAGGGTCGGGCCATTGACTTTGACGTTTGGGTAGATGACCTGCAGCTTTTCCTACAGTGCGATAGGGCAGACGGTCTCTCCCTCTTTGACCTCACTTCTGGTGCCTCTCCTGCCCCTGCTGCTGATGCTGACGCCACTGTTCGCTCAGAGTGGGCCACACGCGATGCTGCTGCACGTCTTGCTGTGCGTCGCCACTTGCCTACCTCTGAGCGTGCACACTTTAGCCAGTACAAGAGTGCTAAGACCTTGTACGACGCTGTAGTTGCGCGCTACTCTTCCCCTGCCACTACTGCACTTAGCCGCCTCATCCTGCCGTACCTCTTCCCTGACCTCGCTGCTTTTCCCACTGTCGCTGACCTCATTACGCACCTTCGCACTAGTGACATTCGTTACCGCGCTGCCCTTCCCGCTGATTTCTGCGCCAAGAACCCCCCCCCCTATGTACATCACCCACTACTACATAGTCACCCGGCTCCCTGACACCCTTCGCCCGGTCAGGGACCACTTTCTCTCTGTTTTCCCCACCACTCTCACCGTTGACCTCCTCGAGGAGCGCCTCCTAGAAGCAGAGAAGAGCATAGTCGCTGTAGGAGCCTCTCGTGGTGACCCTCGTGCCCCTGTCTTTGAGGGGTGCTCCCCCTCTCCTCTCTTGCCCTCTGTTGCCTCTGCTGCTGCGGCCGACCTCGTTGGTCTTGAGTCGGTCGTTGCGGCGTCTGCCCCTAGCGGGAGACGCCGCCCTGGCAAGGGCAAGGGGGGCAGGGGCGCTGAAGGAGCTAGCAGGGGCGGGTGGCGGCGATGGTGGAGGCGGCGGAGGGGGTGGGGGTGGCGGTGGGGGTGGTGGCGGGGGTGGGGGCGTCGGTGGCGGCGGTGGAGGCGGAGGCAGCGGCGGCGGTGGCGGTGGGAGCGGAGGTGGCGGAGGTGGCGGCGGTGGAGGAGGTGGCGGTGGAGGAGGTGGAGCTGGTCGGGGTGGCACTGCGCAGAGGGTCGGCTCCGGTGGTGGTCCGCGCCATCAGCAGCAGCAGCAGCGCGCTCGTGAGATCCCCCCCCGTCAACAGCTTCGTAAGTGGTACGCTGTACGCCAGCGGGGTGGGGGTACTGGTCCGTGCACCTACGTCCTACGCACCGGCGACCGCGCGGGTGAGCAGTGCGGGGGTGCGCACTCCACCCAGCGCTGCTTTTGCCGCCTGACGGACGCTTGGCGTCACCAGTTCCCTGAGGCCACTGAGATCCCTCGCTGGGGCGAGCTATCTAGGGCGGGAGTAGCTATCTTTGACCTTGACTTTGATGCTATTCTTGCTGCCATGTATGCTGTGACTATTAGTGATGAGGGTGACTGTTACCGGTGTTTTCCGCCCGGCCCGGGCATTGGGACTGCTGCTCTAGGTACTGGTGACGCTGCTGCTCTAGGTGCTAGCGAGGATGCTGCTCTAGGTGCTAGTGCGTCTGCTTCCTCAGGTGCTGGTGAGTTTCCGCTCTCAGGTACCGAGTCGGCTTCGGCCTCCCTCACCTTCACCCTTGACTCGGGGGCTTCTCGCTCCTTCTTTCGAGACCGCACCACACTCACGCCGCTGCTGCACGTCTTGCTGTGCGTCGCCACCTGCCTACCTCTGAGCGTGCGCACTTTAGCCAGTACAAGAGTGCTCACACCTTGTACGACGCTGTAGTTGCGCGCTACTCCTCCCCTGCCACTGCTGCACTGAGCCGCCTCATGCTACCGTACCTCTTCCCTGACCTTGCTGCCTTTCCCACAGTTGCTGACCTCATTACGCACCTTCGCACTAGTGACACTCGCTACCGCGCTGCGCTTCTTGCTGAGTTCTTTGCCAAGAACCCCCCCCCCTATGTACATCACCCTCTACTACATAGTCACCCGGCTCCCTGACTCCCTTCGCGTAGTCAGGGACCACTTCCTCTCAGTTTGCCCCACCACTCTCACCGTTGACCTCCTCGAGAAGACCCTCCTAGCAGCATAGAAGAGCATAGTAGCTGTAGGAGCTTCTCGTGGTGACCCTCGCACCCCCATCTTTGAGGGGTGTTCCCCCTCCCCCCTTTTGCCCTCTGTTGCCTCTGCTGCTACGGGCGACCTCGTTGGTTTCGAGTCGGTCGGCGCTGCGTCTGCCCCGAGCGAGAGACGCCGCACCGGCAAGGGCAAGGGGGGCAAGGGTACTGGAGGGGCTAGCGGGGGTGGCGGAGGTGGCGGTGGAGGCAGTGGAGGGGGTGGGGGTGGTGGTGGGAGTGGTGGCGGGGGTGGAGGGGTCGGTGGCGGCAGTGGAGGCGGAGGCGGCGGCAGCGGTGGCGGTGGGAGCGGAGGTGGCGGAGGTGGCGGCGGTGGAGGAGGCAGCAGCGGAGGAGGTGGAGCTAGTCGAGGTGGCGCTGCGCAGAGGGTCGGCTCCGGTGGTGGTCAGCGCCAGCAGCAGCAGCGCACTCGTGACATCCCCCCCCCCTCAGCAGCTCCGTGAGTGGTACGCTGCACGCCAGCGGGGTGGGGGTACTGGTCCGTGCAGCTACGACCTACGCACCGGCGACCGCGCGGGTGAGCAGTGCGGGGGTGCGCACTCCACCCAGTGCTGCTTTGGCCGCCTGACGGACGCTTGGTGTCACCAGTTCCCTGAGGCCACTAAGATCCCCCGCTCGGGCGAGCTGTCTAGGGCGGGAGTAGCTGTCTTTGACCTTGACTTTGATGCTATTCTTGCTGCCATGTATGCTGTAACTACTAGTGATGAGGGTGACTGTTACCGGTGTTTTCCGCCCGGCCCGGGCATTGAGACTGCTGCTCTAGGTACTGGTGAGGCTGCTGCTCTAGGTGCTAGCGAGGCTGCTGCTCTAGATGCTAGTGCGTCTGCTACCTCAGGTGCTGGTGAGTCTGCTCTCTCAGGTACTGCGTCGGCTTCAGCCTCCCACACCTTCACCCTTGACTCAGGGGCTTCTCGCTCCTTCTTTCGAGACCGCACCATACTCACGCAGCTTGGTCGGCCAGTTGCAGTCTCTCTGGCAGACCCCTCTGGGGGTCCTGTTCTTGCTCACTTCTCCACTGTCCTCCCGTGTGCGGCGGCCCCCTCTGGCACCCTATCTGGTCTTTACCTCCCCTCGTTCTCTACGAACTTGGTGAGTGGTGCTGACCTACAGGATGCGGGGGTTCACCAGTTCACTCCTGCGAGCCAGCGGGTGACCCACTGCACGGACACTCAGACGGGCCGACACTTGGCCACGTTTACACGTCGGCCGGGGTCGAGCCTGTACACACTGACCACTGGGTCCCCTCCTGTCCCTGCTTCTGGCCAGGTAGCTGCGTCGGGTCAGGTGTTTGCTGCTGCGTCCAGGTCTGGTCCTGAGTCTGCCCCCTACTCGTGTCGCCTCCTGTCTCACGAGACTCTCCTCTGGCACCACCGCCTTGGTCACCCCTCCCTGCTTCGTCTCCGAGGCATCGCCTCCCGTGTCCTTGTCTCTGGTCTTCCCTGGTCCCTCCCTCCCCTACCTCCGGGGCCTGCCCCTACCTGCGTCCCCTATGTCGAGGGGCGGCAGCGGGCTGCCCCTCACTCCTCCCAGTTTCCTCCGACAGAGGCCCCGCTGCAGACGCTTCACATGGACGTGTGGGGCCCCGCCCGCGTCCGTGGACAGGGTCACGAGCGCTACTTCCTGCTTGTGGTTGTTGACTACTCGCGTTACACCACAGTCTTCCCCTTGCGCAGCAAGGGTGATGTCACTGAGGTGTTGATCGACTGGATCCGCGCAGCTCGTCTCCAGCTCAGGAAGAGTTTCGGCTCGGACTTTCCTGTTCTGCGTCTGCACTCTGACAGAGGCGGAGAGTTCTCCTCTGGCCTTCTGCGAGCCTACGGTCGTGCACGAGGCATCCGCCAGACCTTCACGCTTCCGGACTCTCCACAGCAAAATGGGATTGCTGAGCGCCGCATTGGCATGGTCATGGACGTCGCTCGTACGTCCATGATGCATGCGGCTGCCCCTCATTTTCTGTGGCCGTTTGCGGTTCGGTACGCGGCGCATCAGATCAACCTTCAGCCAAGGGTCTCCATGCCGGAGACCTCCCCAGCTTTGCTGTGGACGGGGAAGGTTGGCGATGCGTCTGCGTTCCGTGTCTGGGGATCTAGGGTGTTTGTCCGCGACTTGTCTGCGGACAAGCTGTCCCCTCGTGCTGCTCCCTGCGTCTTCCTTGGCTTCCCCCCTGACACGCCAGGGTGGCAGTTCTACCACCCCACCTCTCGCCGAGTTCTGTCCTCCCAGGACGTCACGTTTGACGAGTCGGTCCCCTACTACCATCTTTTCCCCTACTGCACTCCGTCCCTCCCCCCGCCACCGCTCTTCCTTGTGCCAGGTCCCCCCCCCGGTAGACCCCCTTCCCCCTCAGGTGTGTCCTAGGTAGACACAGTCGAGCCTGTCGAGGTCGCTGGTGACTCTGGTGCTGCTGGGGGTGCTGAGCCTGGGGGTGCTGAGTCTGAGGGTGCTACGACTGGGGGTACTGAGCCTGGGGGTGCTGAGTCTGGGGGTGCTGAGCCTAGGGGTGCTGAGTCTGGGGGTGCTGAGCTTGGGGGTGCTACGACTGGGGGTGCTGAGCCTGGGGGTGCTACGCCTGGAGGTGCTGCGCCTGGGGGTGAGGAGCCTGAGGGAGCTGGACCTGCTCGTGTGGCGTCTGGCAGTGCTGGGCCTGGCGGTTCACCGGGTGCTCCGTCTAGACGGGAGCCACTCTCTCCACAGGAGGTGCATGAGTGGTTTGCCCGGCGCTGGAGACGTGCTGCTGGAGCTGGAGGTCCTTCGGCTACTGAGGGTGCTGGTGCCACGGGTCCCGGAGGTGCTCGTACAGGGAGTACAGGAGCTGCTGGGCCTACGGGTAGTACTGGAGCTGGAGCCATTGCGTCGTCTCGTGGTCCGACTGGAGCTGGAGCTGCTGAGGGTGTTGGCGCTGAGAGTGCTGCTGGCGGTACTGGAGGCAGTCCTGCTGGGGGTGCTACTGGTGTTGCTGGAGGTCCTGGAGCTACTGGAGCTGCTGGGGGTACTGGAGCTGGAGGTGCTGCTGGCGCTGGTGCTACCACTGGGGGTACTGGTGCTGTCCCTACTCTGTCTGGAGTCGCTGAGCGGCCTCGGCCGTACTTCGTTCAGCTCCTTGAGCAGGTTCTTGGTCTCCCGCCTTCTACTGGTCCTCCTCCGTTAGAGTGTCCACAGCCTGTCCCGTCGCAGTTACAGTTACAGGCGGCCTCCCCACTGCCCGCTCCTTCTCCCTACACTGGTCCTACTGGAGGTCTTGCTGAGCGTCGTGAGCCTGCGTCTCGCCCTGCGTCGCCTGTCCGTGCTGCTCGCACTAGTGGTCGTGGCTCGCGTCAGCGTCCTCCTCCTGTCCCTGGCATGCACCGGATGTCTCTGCGTCCATCCACTGCTCCTCTGCGTGCCCCTTTACCTTCTCCTCCTGAGTCCTCTCTTCCTGCTCTTGCTGACCCGGAGTTGGACTCTCTTCGTGCTGCGAGTCCTACTGTCACGCGTCTACTGGCTACTGTTGTCACTGCCCCTTCCTTTCAGTCCACTGCTGGGTCTGCCCTAGTTGCTGAGCTCGTCGACTTTGCTGCTCGCTGTCGTCTAGACTACGCTGCTAGTCTTGTTGCTGAGTCTGAGTCTGTCTGTCCTCCGTCCGTCGGGGGTGAGTGTGCCCTTGGCACGGACGTCCTTGAGGACAGGCAGGATGAGTTCCAGTGTTTGGCTGCTGCTTCACCTCATCTCGTGTCCGTACTGCTTACCCCTGAGGGAGACCCGGATGCACTTGACATCCCGACTCCGCGCTCTTACGCTGAGGCGATAGAGGGTCTCTACTCTTCTCAGTGGAAGGCAGCTATGGACGCAGAGATGGCTTCCTGGAAATCCACAGGCACCTACGTTGACGAGGTTCCCCCGCCTGGGGCGAACATGGTCAGTGGCATGTGGATTTTCAGGGTGAAGCGGCCGCCGGGTTCTCCGCCTGTCTTCAAGGCGCGTTACGTGGCTCGTGGCTTCAGTCAGCGGCAGGGAGTTGACTACTTTCAGACCTTCTCTCCCACCCCAAAGATGACCACTCTTTGGGTACTGCTGCAGATAGCTGCTCACCGTGACTACGAGCTGCACTCTCTTGACTTCAGCACTGCTTTCTTGCAGGGCAGCCTGCACGAGGAGATCTGGCTGCGTCGCCCACCTGGCTTCATTGGGTCCTTTCTTCCTGGCACCCAGTGGAGCCTCCGGCGGCCAGTCTACGGTCTCCGCCAAGCACCGCGTGAGTGGCACGACACACTGAGGACTACACTTGCGCTCTTGAGTTTGCTCCGTCTACTGCCGACCCGTCGCTGTTTTTGCGCACCGACACTTCTTTGCCACCGTTCTACATCCTCGTGTACGTCGACGACTTGGTCTTTGCCACAGTTGACACTGCTGGACTCGCCCACGTGAAGTCCGAGCTGCAGAAGAGACACAGGTGCACAGACCTGGGTGAACTGCGCAGCTACCTTGGCTTGCAGATCACCCGGGACAGAGCACATCGCACCATTACCCTGACTCAGTCACACATGGTGCAGCAGGTCCTTCAGCGCTTTGGCATCACGTACTCCTTGCCTCAGGCCACTCCTCTGCCTACTCGCCACTCGCTCTCAGCTCTGCCTTCGGATGAGTCCGTTGATTCGAGTGGCCCGTACCCAGAGCTTGTTGGCTGCCTCATGTACCTGATGACCTGCACTCGACCTGACCTTGCATACCCTCTTAGCATTCTCGCACGCTATGTTGCTCCTGGGAGACATAGACGTTACTTCGCTGCAGCGAAGAGGGTGTTGCGCTACTTGTGCAGTACGTCGGGCATGGGGCTTGTGCTTGGAGGGCAGAGTCCAGTGGTCCTCACTGGGCACGCAGACGTTTCTTGGGCTGACGACCAGGCTACGCAGCGGTCGTCACAGGGTTACACCTTCAGCCTTGGTTCCGGCTATGTTTCGTGGCGGGCTACCCGCTCGTCTTCTGTTCTCGGCTCCAGTTGTGAGGCTGAGATCTACGCGGGGGCCATGGCTGCACAGGAGCTTTGGTGGCTCACCTACCTGCTGACTGACCTCGGAGAGCTGCTCGTTCTCCTTCAGTGCAGTACGTAGACAACAAGGCCATGCTGGCCTTGTGTCGAGAGCAGAGACTGGAGCACAGAACGAAGCACATTGCTCTTCGCTACTTCCTTGCTCGTGAGCTACAGCAGCGTGGTCAGCTGCGTCTTGCGTACGTGGCCTCTGAGGCCAACACTGCTGATGTTTTCACCAAGGCACTTGCGCCTTGTGATCATCAGCGCTTCTGTACTCAGCTGGGTCTTGTGCCTGCCTTGCCTCACTTGCTCACCCCTTGACCTTGTTTGTACTGTTACATATATATATACACCTGCTCTTGCTTGTCTAGCCTTATATATATTTGTAATCCTGCATGTGAACTGGCCTTGTGACCTTGAACTTGTGCTTGGAATGTGTGGTGACTTTGTGATCCACCCTGAGCTTACTTTGCTTTGCTTCATTGCTCTTGTGACCCCTTGTTCTCCCCCACTTTGCCTATGGGGGTGTGTCAGATTTATATGACATAGCTGCTGTAGGCTATAGTGGGGTAGCACATATGGGGTACAGCTTTCTAGGGTTTGTACTTGTACCCAACTTTCCCATAGTCATTCACATTCTCGTTCAATTTCTCAAGCATCAGCAGCAGGGGCAGGAGAGGCACCAGAAGTGAGGTCAAAGTGGGAGAGACCGTTGCCCTATCGCACTGTAGGAAAAGCTGCAGGTCATCTATCCAGACGTCAAAGTCAATGGCCCGACCCTCAGCGTCAAAAGCGAGGACACTGGGGGTAGCCATGACAGCAGTAGACTAGCAGCGCGAGCAGTAGGCTAAGGGCAGTGCAGTGGTAGAGGTGCTGCTCTTACCGGGCAGGCGAGAAGGACCGAGGCCCGCCGGCTGGAACAGGGCCGCGACGGCAGTGACCGGGTGTAGCGGACAGGGCGGCTCGGACGGCTCGGTGGCCCGGCGGCTCGGCAGCAACAGCAGCTCGGCGGCTCGGCGATTCGGCGGCTCGGGCGGCCGAGCAGCTCGGCGGCTCGGGCGGCTCGGGCGGCTCGGCGGCTCAGGCGGCTCGGGCGGCTCGGCAGGAGCGGCGGCTCGGTAGCTCGGGCGGCTCGGCGGCTGCAGGGACAGTGGCAGCTGCTGCTGCAGGGACGACGGCGGCGGCTGTTGCTGCAGAGACTGTGGCAGCCGCAGCTGAAGGGACGACGGCGGCGGCCGCTGCTCCAGGGAAGGCGGCGGGCGCTGCTATAGTGGGCGACGGCGGGCCGCAAAAAGGGGGGGGTCGTAAGGGGCCGCACGAGGGGTCGTAAGGGGCCGCTAAGGGCGGCGCGAGGGGCCGCAAGGGTGGCGGCGGGGCCGAGGAGCGGCGCGAGGGGCCGCAAGGGCGGCGCGCAGGGCCGACGAGAGGCGTGAGGGGCCGCAAGGGCGGCGTGCGGGGCCGACGAGAGGCGCGCGGGGCCACAAGGGCGGCGCGCGGGGCCGACGAGTGGCGCTCGGGGCCGCAAGGGCGGCGCGCGGGGTCGACGGGCGGCACGAGGGGCCGTAAGGGTGGCGCGCGGGGCCGTAAGGGCGGCTCAAGGGGCCGCTAAGGGCGGCGCGACGGTAGGGAGGGCACTCGGGGCGCGACTCGGGCAGGGGCGAAGCGCGCTCCGGGCTGGAAAAAAAAAATTATCGAGGTGGGCCCTAGAGAGCGTTCCCACTAGGGAACCTGCTCTGAAACCATGTGAAGAATGAAACGAGGAATGATTGAACTGAGCAGCATGAGAAGTACAAGTACCAGACCCTAAAGTGTTGTACCCCATATAAGCTACCCCACTACAGCCTACACAGACTATAGTGTATGAACAAATCTGTCCACACTTTGTCAACCAAGCCGTCGGCTTTCGCAAAAATAAGTACATACATAAATGAATACATAAATGCATAAATATTAAATAATTAAATGAATAAACAAGCATACTATCCCACCGAGCATGTGGTCGATAGAAAAGCTTATGTTTGGGGAATTTAGATGCCCTGGATGCGAAAGCATGTTCTACAAGGCAGTTGCGAGACATACCTGTGTAATGTACATATGATTCGACACTAGGTGGTGAGTGATGATGGATGTGAGAAGCAAGTGGAGGGGAGAATGCCTCAACCCCGTGTCGTAGGCTTTATGAAAGTCCACCAGCACCATCAGCCAGTCCTCTCTTCCCGCTATGTAACTCTGCTGGCCGTCCCAGCACCGCCTGTATTTTACTCGCATGGGAAATGATCAACGAGGGGCCGTACAGTGCCAGAGAGGTGATCAACCAGGGGCCGAGAGGCCCGAAACTGACCAAAACCGCTGCGCGAGGGGGGATTAACAGAAAGGTTCGTCACGGCTTGCATTTTCGCTCACATCTCAATATTCTTAGGATATCGTAAATGAATCATTTTTTTCATCCGGTACCGTCGTTTAGCGAGCCAGGTAGCGCTACCAGCGGTACCGACGCTACCGGGAAATGTTAGATAGCCTAAAAAACAAAAACAAATAGGGAACCTCTTCGCATTGTCGGGATGGATCAACCATAAACACAGGAACCCGCCTGGTGTTTAGGGTTGATGCCTCCCAAGTCCCATCCATTTCCGAACGGGTTTTATCGTTTATGTCAGCTAAAGCGATGTAATATTTTCGAAAACGATTACGCATTCATTTCCTAAAAATATATACATGACGAAACTGTTAACCACTATTTGGGATGTAGAATCTACTAATGCACCTTTAATTCACACCAGGTAGTCCCCACAGGGTCACCTCCAAGGGTCCTCGGGTGCCTGGCAAAGCCAGCCCCTAACCAAGGGTCCGTGTTTGTAGAGGGACGCACTAAGTGTAAAAACAACGGCGTGCACTAGAGCACTCCCAAAACTTGTATACGCAGCGTTGACGACGAACTGGTCGTGTGCAGAGAGTTCTGTTCACGTCAATACGTTGAAAGATAAAATATTCACTCAAAAGATTGATTACAACTTCACACAAGCACATATATATATTTCGCCTAACACACATGCAAAGGAAAATAGCAAACAATTCATAAACTGCATTTCTAGGAGTTCGTCTTGTTGTCTTGAAAACGGTTGCCAAACTTCTGCTACATTTGGCTTGATCTGAGTCCTTGAAATAACTGCCTTCAAATTACATGTCTGCCAAATGCCCCTGCTGACTCCTCTCGCGAGCGATCATGAACTCCCGTGTAGAATCATGAACGCTCGTGTGGGAATTCTGTTTCCCCAAGCTTTACAGTTGTAAAACGGTTTTCACCGTTTTGTACCTGTAAGAAACAATCGCGTTACACGCGCGACTTAAATGGCGAATTTCACTATTTCGCCATGTCACAAAAAGACTCGCTCGAGATTCAGTTTTACAACTGAAATCTCGAGTGAATCTCGAGCACCCCTCGGGATCTCTCGGCACCCCTTGCAACCCACGCGGCGCACCGTCCTGACGTGGGCAGGGCGATACACCTAACCACCGCTATTTTCAAGGGGAAACCCAACCCACTAATCTCGTGTTTCAAAGTTACCCTACACGTTTTCGACTATTTCAGTTCAACACTTAGATGACTGGGGCTATGAATGACGCCTAATGCTCGAAGTTTAAACTCATTATGCGAATCTGATTCCATAGCGCCACTTCTACAGTACTCTCTTTGAGGATCTAGAACAGACTCTCGCAAAAATTAAATGATGCCCCACACAACCCTCGGTCAAAGATTTAGAAAGGGTGCATACCCCACTTGTGCAAGTGGGGTGGAAAATAGACCGAAAGAAAATAGCGGTGGTTGGGTGTAATTATTGTCAAACTCATATGCTATAGTCTGTATAGGCTGTAGTGGGGTAGACAATATGGGGTACAACACTTCTAGGTTTTCCTACTTGTACCCACCTGCTTGCTAGTTCATTCATTCCTCGTTTCTTCACATGCTATCAGAGCAGGTTCCCTAGTGGGAACTTTTTCCTAGGGCCCACCACTGAAAATCGAGTTTTCTTTCTTTTTCCTGCCCTGAGATCGAGTCGCCCCTGACCGAGGCGCGCCCTGTGTGCCGCCCTCCCCTTAGCGACTCGTCGTGCCGCCCTTAGCGGCCCCGTCGCCCCCTCTCACGGCCCCTCGCGACCCCGTCGCCGCCCCCTAGCGGCCCGTCGCGCCGCCCTGAGCGGCCCGTCGCACCGCCCTGAGCGGCCCGTAGTGCCGCCCTCAGTGGACCCTTGCGGCCCCGCCTCCACGGCCCCGTCGCCGCCCTCTCGCGGCCCCGTCGCCGCCGTTCGCGGCCCCGCCGCCGCCCTTAGCGGCCGCGTCACCGCCCGTCGCAGCCCTGCAGCTGCTCCTCGCGGCCTCGTCGCCGCCCTCTCGCGGCCCCAGTGCCGCCCTCTCGCGGCCGCGTCGCCGCCCTTTCGCGGCCCCAGTGCCGCCCTCTTGCGGCCTCGTCGCGGCCCCGTCGCCGCCCCTAGGGTACTCGCTTCAGGGGAAACCCATTATGAAATAGGTAACCCTGAGTCATCAGTGTCAGAACATTATAGCTTATGCTTTTGTGTAGGCTATAGTGGGGTATCCCATAGGGGGTACAACCCAATTAGGGTTAGTACTTGTACCCACTTCACTCATAGTTCATTCACGTTCACTTCTTCACATGGAATCAGAGCAGGTCCCCTCCTAGGGACTGTTCCCAGGGCCCACCGAAGCGCGCCCCGAGGCGCGCGTTCCTTTTTTTTTCGCGACCCTCCGTGTCGCCCCTAGCGGCCCGATACGCCGCCCTTACCTACGCGGCCCCGCCGCCCTTACCTACGCGGCCCCGCCGCCCTTACCTACGCGGCCCCGCCGCCCTTACGTCGTGGCCCCGCCGCCCTTACCTACGCGGCCCCGCCGCCCTTACCTACGCGGCCCCGCCGCCCTTACGTCGCGGCCCCGCCGCCCTTACGTCGCGGGCCCCGCCGCCCTCACGTCGCGGCCCCGCCGCCCTCACGTCGCGGCCCCGCCGCCCTCACCTCGCGGCCCCGCCGCCCTCACGTCGCGGCCCCGCCGCCCTCACGTCGCGGCTTC